GTAAGCACGTGGCCTCCTTCCTTGCCATCCACTGAACCTAAAGAGACCAATACCACGTCATAAGACTCCATATCAAGCGCTGTAAGTTCTTCCAAACTCACCCCTGTACACGAAATCTATACGCTACATTCTTGCATTTTTTCTCAAAGATATTGGCATAATCATATTGCTTGCTTGATTTCTAACATAACTGTAATAGCTGATTTGGTTTTTAGGCCTCATATGGTGATATCCGCTCTTAGGGTTTGTGTGGGTTGTTTTTAGGCATTTTATTTTCAGGTGAAATCAGAGCAAATAATGAGCATGGATGGATTCAGGAGGTGGAGACGAGATCAACCATGATCTTGGAATGGGTTTTCATGGCCTAGGGACAATTCTAGGACAAGCCTACGAAACTACCTGCGGATAAAAATTCGCAGGTAAATAACCAGGGATTTTGATGAATAAGATGATTAGGTGTTGCAGCGTGATTGGCCGGTTCAAATAAATAACGCGCGTTATTTTTTTTTCCCAGGGGATGCGTTGATTTACTAATATAATATTTAGTTGTTATTATTATTTCAAATTGAACACACAGCTCAGCTGGCTAAGGCGTACAAGAATCATCTCTTGGGACCTGGGTTTGAATCCCAGGTCCCCCAAATAATTTGTTTCCATTTTTTCTTGTATATTCCTATGCAGGCTTCCTGAAAGGCTTCATCATACACCTCACCAATCCACGCGCCATAGGTCCACAATCATAGATCCAAAGGCCAGGGATGGTTGACTACCCTATTCCTGGTCAACCAGCGCCCCAGACAACTTGAAAAGTCAAACAAGGCTGGCTGGTTAATGGGCTTCACAATTCCAAATTCACCCTCAAATCTGGCCCAATCCCCCTTGGGTTTGCATTTTTATTTTGTCATTTTATTTTTCATTTGCCTTATTTTATTTTTTATTCTTTTTTATTAACTATTAACTAAATAATTATTTTTTCCATAAAAATTCAGAAAAACCTAAAAAACATTTTTATTAATTTCAATTACCTTTTTGTAAATAAATATGGTTAATTAATTTAGTCTTTTAAAATTAGGGCAACTTTAATTTTTTCATAATAAATAAAAACAATTTAGAATTAGGTTTTTGCTAACTTTTAATTTCTTTTTATTTTCTTTTTATTTTCATTAAAAACATAAAAATACAAAAACATTTTTTTAATTAATTAATTAATTATTAATTAGGCTTAATTTTTAATTAATTACAAAAAGGGACAAATCTCATTCTTTTCTCAAAAAAAGGGTCAAAACCCTTAGGACGTCCCGATTCATTCTATCGCGCGCAGTTTATTTTAATTCATTATATTTATGTAACTGCTTCCGGAAATGTAACAGTTAATTAGGTTTATCTCTTTATTTACTATTTCTCGCATTCTTATTTTCAAAACGGGTTTTTGTTTTTGGCGATGTATAGACCCGCGCCTTGTAATAGCTAGATTTACCTTTTCCGTATTTTATTTTCCGCACTCTTAACTGTTAATATGCCTACAAGACTTGTATGAAAAATAAAATCAACCCGTAGCTCACAATGATGCATGCAAAGACAATTTAACATGAAACTGGACACACGTGCACATGCCACTCCTAGGTTACGCCTCACTTGGTTGCCTCGAGGTGGTCGTCAAGTATAGGGTGTTTTAGAGGTCGCCCTCCTGTCTAAAGATCCAGTTGCCTCGAAACGGTTGCCTCGGATAAAAAAGGATCTAGGACATTAGGGTTACCGCTAAGGCGTCCTACTATTGCTTTGGTGACCACATTGTCCCTATAATCGAATTGACCCGAATAACTCTAACGACGGTGCTACCTACTTCTCAATAGTGGGATAGTACTGTCTAAAGGACTCTTACACAGCCTAATTCCTTAGAGTAGGTAGATTTCTCCTGGGTACTTGCTCTTTTCAAAAACAAAAACATCTTTTCGCACTTACACTTTCAAAAAGTTTTCAAACAAACACTTCATACACTCTTGAGGACTGATACAAGAGTTACCTAGAAGTTTTCAAAACGAAACTTTTTCAAAATCCACAAACACAAGAAAAGCAAACAATTTTTGAAAACATAGTGAGCAAGTACCTAAGAGCCCGTGGATAACCACGGATAGAAAGGGTGCTAACACCTTCCCTTTCTATAAATCTACCTCCCGAACCGAGAAACATTCTCAAAGAAGGAATTTTGCTGTGCTTTTGTCCTTTCCATGTTGGAGAACATAAAAGACGGTGGCGACTCTTGCTTACCGCGACATTTCGCGAACCAGCTTAAAAAACAGTCACTTCTATTTCCACCGATCACACTAACCACAAATGATCTTGGAGAGTTCTTGGACATTTTGGAAAGCTTGTAACATGCTCTACAATCCATATTTGAAATGAAAATTTAGATACCTCTTGGAACTAGGTGAAAAGTTGCCATGAAGTTAGGTCAAAAACCTGCCTAAACTAGGGCAAAATTTCACTAAGTTATCTAGTTTATGGACCCCTATTCACAAAATCATAACTTGAGATCTAAGCATCCTTTGGTAAAACTTTGTGAATAAAAGTTGTATATTTCATGGAGGACTACAACTTTCATGTTGGAAGTTTTCTTTGAACCCAATTGCATCATGGTGAAAAAGTTGTGGAAAGTTGGGAAAAAATAAGAAATTTTCCATACTTAGAAAACTTCTAAGTTATGAAAAATTTCAAATTCAAACCCTAATTTGAAATTTTAGGTTTCTTGGTCAAAAAGTTTCACATTTTGACATATCTTGATGAATTATGACCCTTGGCACTTGATTTTGACCAAAAAGTCAAAGTTTGACTTTTCAATGTACAGTTGACTGCAAAATTCATCTGTCAATCCTATGCATTTGAGATCTTTTGAACTATGTGATTAGGTCAAGATGATGCTATTGAGTCCTTGAAATCATGTTTGAACCCAATTGGTCATTGGCTAGGTTAAAAATCAGAAATTGCCCTTTCTCAGTCAAAACCCTAATTTTGACCACTTTGCCCTTTTGATGATCTGATCAAATTTCTTGAGGAGTTGTGATCCAAACTTGATCAAATGATACATAGGAGCCTAAAATGTTGTTGTGGATCAAAAATTATGAAGTTTGACTATAAATTGACCATGGTTGACTTTTTCCCCAATACAGCTGATTTTTAGGTCAACTGTCCAATTGATTGGGCAAAAATATGATTCAAAGCTTGAAATTTGGTATGAGCAATCTTAGGGGTCTAAGATGGTGTATGAAAGTCATATGAAGCATTTATGGTCCAAAAATCCTTGTGCAAACTCAAACCCTAATTTCAGGTCATCAGTGCAAGGTGAGGTCTTGAGCTGAGCAAACCCTAATCCTGTCTGGAGTCCAAAGAGTCTTGTGAGGAAAATCTTGATAAATGAGAGGGCAAATTTTGGGGTACAACAACTTGCACCAATTCTTTGATTTTTTTGGAGAGTTTTTGTAGAGCTTTTGGAGAGCTTTTGCATGTAGAATTTCGTGCCCTTTCTTGATTGCAATGTTATTTATTTATAGAGTTAGGAGAAAAGCAAGTATGGCAAGAAATAAAGCTTTCAAGGCCATGAGACAAAAATCCAACATATTGAAAGTTTACCATATTTGGATGATTCTTGCCATTCTTAATGATGCATGAACCTGGACAGTTTTTTGTTGGTCTTTGCACGAAATATTGGGCTCCATGATGGGTCATGTCAAGCCCAGATGCGCTTGCCCATTATTTCTTGTATTTTTATCTAATTCATTTGATTTAACTCATATTTAAATGAATAAAAATTCAAATAAATAAAAATAAAAATCACCATAGTGCTTGGTTAGGTTTATAGGTCCTTGGATATGTCATAAACATGTTTGAACCCTAAAAGTTAGGTTCATTAACCTAAAAATACAATTTTGCTCAAAGTTGACTTCATGCATTTCTTGAAAATTGTCTAACTTGTGTACCTCATAACTTTCTCAATTTTCATCTTTTGAAGTTGATCTTGAACTTTTTGGAAAGCCCAAGATGTCCCCTTCAATCTCTATGTTGATCATTTTTTCTTTTGAATACATCAACTTGATGTAAGTTTCCTTGAAAAATAGTGTCTTTTGTTGACTTTTGAAAATGACCTATAATGTATGAGATCATATCTTCCAAATGAAACATTTTTTGAACTTGAGAACAATAGAAAAGTTGTAGATAATTGAATTTTATTCAAAATGGGATTTGGTTGGGGAAAAGTTGATGAAGCATGTGAAAGTTATGCCTGGTCAAAGTTCAGTTGACTTTTCCTAAGGAAACCCTAATTTGACAAATCTTGACTTTTGATGATCTGAGGACTTTCCTCAGGGAATCATGATCAACCCTTGATAAAATGATGAATATCACTTCAAAATGTTGATGTTGACCAAAAATCTTGAAGTTTGACTGTATGTTGACCATAGTTGACTTTTTGATCAAAATATTTGATTTTCAAGCATCTGAGCCATTGACTGAGCAAACTTGTGATGTAGGGCTTGAAACTTGACATGGGCCTTGTTGAGGACCTATGAAGAAACATGGGATCCACTTGACACTTTTGCAGACCAAATTTCCTTGAGAAACTCCAAACCCTAGTTGTAGGCTTTTGGTCTAGGAGGTGCATCTTGACTAGTTAACCCTTGGATGCCTTGACGATTTGAAGAGCCTTGAAAGAATGCTTTAAAGAAAAATGGGAGGATAAATTTTGGGGTACAACACACATTAACCACCTCAATTTTAATCACCTCCTAATAATGCTGAAAGAAGAAACCACTAAATCCTTCTGAACCCGAAAAGCTGTCGGCACTTAGATTGAAAACCGCACTTTTGATTTCCTCTAATGAAGGAGAAGATGTGAGTGTATTGTTCATCTGCTCTGAAAAAATATTAGGAATGATATTCTCCAAGTTAGAGAAGTTCTTACATGTATCTGCAACACCTAACAAGTTAGAGAAATATGAAGTGACATGTTAGGAGATGTCATCCGGATCCAACTGAGTGTCGTCTCCGACCACTAAATGAGTAATAAAATTTCTAGAACCCTTTATCTTATCCAGTTTGTGAAAATATGCAGTGTTTCTATCTCCCTGAAGGTTCCAATCAGATCTTGATTTTTCATGCCAAAAAATTTCCTCCACTGTTAGAGCTTTTTCCAAATTCTCTAAAGCCAATTTTTCTTTAGAAGAGAGGTCTTCACTCCAACCTTCTATTTGAATTCTATCTTGAATGTTCTTCAGAATCTCCTGGTTATTACGGACATTAAAGTGAACATCCCCAAAATGTTCTCTAGTCCAAATTCTAAGTTTTCCTTTAAGCAGTTGAACTTTCTTGTTTAAAATATACGTCGGACAACCCACAAATCTAGCCTTCCAATAATCATTTACCATAGCAAGACAAGAATCATTAACATTCCACATTCTGTGAAATTTGAATTGAGAAACTACATAAGAGGAAGAAAAATTGAAGTTCAAAATGATTGAAAAGTGATCAGAGCTAATCCTCAGAAGAGTCAAAACATTCCAATTAGCATAAAGAGATGGGCAATCCTGATTACAAAGAACACGATCTAACCTTCACTCCACTAAATCCGAACTCGTTATGTTATTGTTCCAAGTGAAAAAAGAACCCAACGAATCTAAGTCCATAAGCTGGTTAGAATTAATCCAATTATTGAAACCTAGAATATAGTTTCTAGAAGGAGACACATTCCCTCGTGTTCACGCGAACCCAGAATGGAATTAAAGTCTCCAATAAGATACCGGGGGAGGGAAATATAGTTAAATAACCCAGACAAAGAATCCCAAAGTTGTCTTCTAGAAACATATCTAGTAGAGGCATAAATAACAAAAGTTCCAAAATTGAAACCATCCATCTCAATTTTAAAATAAACCATTTGATCTGTGACTTTCAAAATGATAGGATCTAAAGTAACTTTACAAAGACACCAAATATTGGGATTCAAATCTCCACAGTTGTTAAGGGAAAAGGCTTTGTAACCCAAACTATCTAGAAACCTACTAGGAAATTTAGAAAAGAGTATCCAAGGCTCTGAAATAAAAAAAATACCAGGCTTTTGTTGTTCAATAAAAGATTTAAGAACCAATCTAGTGGGAGTGTTGGCCAAACCCCTTGCATTCTAAAATAAAGTCTTCATAAAGAGTGTTTGTTTTGAACTACTTTAGTTCTTGTGGAATATCTAATCTTATTTCTTTGCTTATTTTTTTTTTTGAGATTTAGACAAAACCTGTTGAAAAGCCTCTTCTTCTTGTTCATTATCTTCTTCAGAAGATATATAATCAACCTCCATCTGAGGATCTTCTTGATTAGAATTGAGAACAGGATTCCTTTGAAGAGAATCTCAAGCCTTGTTAAGAAAATCATTGTTATGGTTAACTATGTCCGTCCCATCCAACTGATCAACCATTGCATCTACAAAAGACCCCTCAGAGCTAAGAGAAGCAATTGATAAGTTTTCCAAGTTGTTGTCAGGATTGAAATCCTTAAAAGTACCATCTTGATTATCTACATTTCCTTTAGGATTAGCTATCAAATCCAATTCCTCCAAATGAATTTCCTTTTCAACCTTAGTAGGAACATTGATAGAAACTTCCAGGGCTTCATGTTCCACCACTAATGGTGTCGAGACTGGTTCCTTTGGAACTTCTTCCTTTGGAGATTATCTCTATCTAGAGGTATTTGTAAAGTTGATCTCATTTCTCCTTATATTTCTACAAATTATTTGTCACATATTATTGTTCATCAGGTAGATGTAGGTTATTGAAAGCATATGCATACGAGTTCTAAGGGACCTCATGTGTTTCACCTCCTTTTTGAGGATACATTTCTTCTTTATGAAAAGGCTTATATATAGCATGTTAATTGTATCAATCATTGTTTGGATTAATTTTTCAAGTCTTTGGCCAAAATATTAATAATGATAAGATTCAATTTTTGCTCGGTTAATGCAGATCTTTGGTTCGAAAGGAGAATATACAACAATCATGATTTAGAGAATCCTTTAACTTGGGAAAGTATATTGGGTAAAACATTATCCATGATAGAAGATCTAGAAGTAGATTATGGCATATCACTAAGTAGGTTCACATTTGTTTGGGTGGTTGGAAGAAACACTATTTAAGCTTGGTAGGAAGACTTATTCTAAGTCAATATGTGTTAAGTTCTATTCCTTACTTTAATATGTAATATGCAAAAATCTCTAAAAATATTGATAATGAGTTATAAAATTTACAACATAGATTCATTTGAGGAGACACTAAGATAACCTGTAAGACTTGTCTTAATAGTTAAGAGGGTTATTGTTTTCCTAAAGAGCAAGGTGGCTTGGACATCAAACTTACTCGATTTATGAATGATTCTTTTATCTTTAAAACTTTTTGAAATTTAGTGACTAACCCTAATGAGGAATGGTGGCGGGTTCTCATTAATAAGTATGGAAAGAATCAAAACTTGACTTCAAGTATTGTCATCATCTAAACTAAACCGCTACTAGTTGACCTGCATCCTTGTTATCCATATGCTTTATCATCTTGGATCACTTACTTTCCTATACTAGAAAGCACATATATCCACATTCTCCCTATTTTTATGATGACAACACATCTCTTAGGGAGATAGTAAAATAGAAATTAAATATATAAAATTTGAAGTGGTTAAACTCCCCCACACGTGAGTAGAAATTATACTCACCCCCTCCTCTCTAAGAGTATACTTATATTTCTTTGTCATAATCAAAAAATGGGGTAAAGATGATACATAGAAATTGTAAATATGCAAGCACATAGTTCACGTATGTCAAACATATATTTCTGAAGAAGGAAAAGACGTTTATTATTTCAAATACTATAATTCAAATTACAAAAAGAAGAAAAATGTGGGAATTGAAATAATTTTAGAAAGCGGAAAAACACGGAAATGCGGAAGTGAGACTACTCTTTTCCATTAATATCATAATTTCTTGAGGTGTTTCTTTTGAAATAGCCATATCCTTTGCAAAGTTATGAATGGCCATAGTATTTATTTGACAGGTTTCCATTTAAGTATTAAAGGCAACATCCTTTTTTGTGGCTGGTTGGACTATAAATTTGTCTTCATCCATTGATTCACCTTTTAGTTCTCCATGATAGATACAAAAACTCATGCTACTGAGCGCAGATTAGTTGATCTTAGGTTAGATTGGATCCACTAATTCTCCCATGGTTTCAACTCTAATAACAACTAATATCTTCGTGATCAAAGCTCCACATGATAGTCCAGCTAATCAGTTCTACTTGCAATAGATCATATGGAGAAGCATTCCGTCAACTTTTTTTTTGAAATTTTTGGGCTAGTAACCATAATGGGACCACGTCCTCTTTGATGACAGCTTCAAGGTTGTCTTGCCTCGGGAGGAGTATCCTTGTGATCAAATAGTGGGATACATAAATATTTTCCTGTAAATAGCTTGCTTTGATATGAAGCTTCATATCCTCCATGGGATTCATGACAAAGAAGGTGGTGACAGTGGAAAGCATGAATTTTTGGAAATTTATTGACCCATCATAGGTATAGAGATAAATCTTCAAACTAAAGGTTGGAGTAGAACTCTCTTACAAGATTCAGAAACATACAATTTGGTACTTTTGTGAAGAGTCCGCTTAGTATCCCTTGGTATATATGAATATACGACTTGAATTTATTGATAAAATTTTCTTCATAACAACAGATCATATCACCTTACGGTTGGACATTACATTCCTTTCTTGACTTCTTAAGGTTGATCTTTCCACGAATAATCTTCTTGATAAAGAATTTACATAGTGGATCCTTCTTGTTAGATCCATAAATGATGATACTTATGGCATATAGTAAGACTCACACAAAAATACAAGAAGAATAAATAAGAGAATGATGCAAAAGAAAGGAGTAGTATTACCTATTTATAGTGTTCCTTCTGACATGTTTGGGCGTGCAACAAATTCAAAAAATCTTTGAAGATTTGGCTCAAAAAATATAAAAACCAAATCTTTCTAAAGCAAGTTATCTAATCGATTATTGTTATGCCCTAATCGATTAGGTAATGGTGATTTTGAAGATCTCGCGTGTTCTCCATTAATACCCTGATTTAATTTGCTTGGAGGCAAAGATACAATTTGATTTAATTTAAAATTTGAAACAAAATGATTGTTTAACTGATTAGGCTAATCAATTATCTCCTTTTATTTCAACCTTATTTTTATTTTTGGGACTTGGTTTGAAATTTGGATTTGGTATATTGCTTTTTACACCCTTTTCATCCTATTTGCACCCGCTTTCTACAAAAATGCTAGAAACTCATACATTTTATTAGTAATAATACTTTTTCATTAATGAGAAAATAATAAACCACTTATTTAGATGGTTCATCATAGTTTTTTATTATTCAACCTCTAAAAAGTGCACTACCTTAAATATCAAGTAATCTTGATAAAACCCCCCTCTTTTGAGGGAGCAAAATAACAATGTTGTAAATTATCTCAGCAAATCGTTAGATGGGAGAGTTGGTTAAAACCACTTGATAAATAGATCAATTACAGACTTATTTTCTCAATATACTTAGAGATTAACTGATCATCACATATCATAAGAGTTTAGACCATTCTCAACGAAAGTTGCTCTGGTCACGCCCATTGACATACACCATCAACAAAAATTCTTGGATGACTCACATCACTATAATCAAACACTACCAGGTAAACCGTGTATACTCAAAGTTATACATCTTTCTCTATAAAATTTCATTTAATATGCACTATGACTTCATTATAGATGCAAAGCATCCTTGCAAAACACATTAGTTATTCACCTTTGGTACTTAAATCTTCTTGGGTTGTGGCGCATTAGTAGTTATAAAAGCTCTAGAGTTACTACCTTTAGAACTTTTTGCATATCAAAACAAAATGGCACTAACTGGCCAAATCTATCACAGTAAGAGCATTTGTTAACAAGGAGATTCAATTTCTTCCTATATAAGCCTTTATAATGTGATCTGCTAGATTTAAACCCTAATGAGATTTTATTCATGGAATGAATTTGATTTTATAGAATCAAATATAGGTTTTCTATCCCTTTGGTAAATTTACTTAGGGTTTCATGCATATCTTTCACTTCCTTTTCGAGACACAAGTCTTACATTTTCCAGCTTGGTTTCTAATATTATTCATTTCATACCTTAACATTTCATTACTATTTTCTAGAAACTCAATGTAGTTTTAAGATTTACGTTATGCTTTTCATTCTTATCATATTCCTAGATTACCATTCCCATAAATTATTAAATCATAGTCACCAAGATCCTTGATTTTGAAGTTTGTGTCAAGGATAGTCCTGAGAATTTGAATTCCATCAATATAATTTCCATAAATTATTAAATCATTGACATAAAGAAGAAGGATGACGAATTTGCATCCATGGAAATGGCTAAAAAGAGAATGATCAGATGTGGATTGCTTGTAATCCAAGGAAATAAGCAATGAGGAAAGTTTCAAAAAGCGTTGTTTGTTGGCCTGTTTTGATCCATAAAGAGACTTTTGAGGCTTGCATTCAAGGTTAGGATTTTAGGGAATTAATCCTAGAGGTGGTGTCATGTAAACCTCTTCCTCTAAATTACCATGGAGGAAAGTGTTGTTGATATTAAGTTGAATTAGCTATAGGTGCCCGCTTTGAGAGGCAACAATGGCAAAAAGGAGCCTAATAGTTGTCATCTTAGCAATTGGTGAAAATGTTTTTATGTAATTGATTCTCTCAATTTATGTCTAACCCTTTGCAACCAGTCAGACTTTGTGTATTTCTATGGAACCATTAGCATGTATCTTGATTTTGTACATCCATTTAAATCCAATGGGCTTCTTATTTGGAGGAAAAGGGCAATGGTCCAAATTTTATTGTGTTGTAGGGCCTAAAGTTCAGCGAGCATGGTCTGATTCCAATAGTCACATTGAGAAGCTTATTTGAATGTAGTTGGTTTAGTTTGAGATGTGACATAATGAAGGTAGTGATTGGAGTCAAGTGAAAGATGATGAGTATTGATATAAAGTTGAATAGGATACATCGTGGTATATGTAGGGGTGTGTTGAGAAGAAGTAAGGTTATTGCACAGAAAATCTTCAAGCCTCTTTAGTTTTTGAGTTATTCTATTTGAGACTCTTGAAATAATGGTAGTGGTTAGATAGATGATGAAATTTGGTTGTTTGGAGGTTGAAAATGGGTAGACGTTTCTTGGTTAAGGGGTTGAGTAGGTGCAGATGAGGTGTTAGATTGTATAGGTGTGGTGGAAATTCGAGATGTCTATGGAGGAATATTTGGTTTTGTATGTGAAGTATAAGGCATGTAATCCTCAGGTGTATCTAAGAATGGGAGGTCATAGTCTACAATTTTGGAAGTGGTGGAAGAGTCATTAGTATAAGGTAAATTGAAAGGAAAAACATGCTCATGGAATGAAACATTTCCGATTAAAGATATTTTTCGGGTACATACATTCATGACAATGAAGCCCTTAATACCTTGTTTGTAACCAAGGAAGACGCCTTGGAATCTCGAGGATCTAGCTTTTAGCGCTCTAGCATTATAGTTGAAAGACATCCAAAGACCTTGATGGTGTCATATTCAGGAGGAGTACTGTGTAGAAGTTCATACGGGGATTTGGAACTAGTGACAAGAAAAGGTAGTCTATTTATAAGGAATATTGCATGATTGATATCAAAATTCTAGAAAATCTTCGGGAGATTGGATTGAAACATGATGGCTCTAGTAACATTTAGAACGGGCCTATGTTTTCTTTCTGCTACAATATTTTTGTTGTGGTGTT